CTGGGGCAACGCGGGGGGGGGGGTGCGGTAGGAGACCCGAGCGAGACGCCGAGACTGAAGTATCTCAGAGCGAAGAGCGCAGCGACGAGGTGAGGCCAGGCGCTCACTGAGCGTGTTAAACACCGTGATGAGACGAGAGGCGAGCGTTTCATGTTCTTGCTGTCTCAGTGGTTTTGTCTCATGCCATGTCACAGTGTTGTCGTTGCTGCGGTGGTCGTCGTGGCCGTTGGTGCCGTGGGGAAAATGTTTTATTCGAGAGGCTCACCTATTGCACTGCCGCTTTCGGAACACATGAAGATCAGGGGCATGAGATTTTCTGTGTCGTCGCCCCTCTTTCCCACTTCACCCTACGGTCAACCGCATGGCGGACTCGCGAAAAACAAACGTCAGGCTCAAGCGCTCCGCCTTTTGGTTTCTCGGTGAGTACTGCCGCCAGCTAACGGGAGCACCAGCTGAGTCATCGCAAAACCACGACCAAACTCCACCCCCTGCTAAAACCGGCGGGAACGAGTTGCTCGACGTCTGGACATCTCCTGTGCCTAGCCCAACAAAGGGTGGAATGGGCAGGCTCCCGGCGGGTCTCGGGGACATGGGAGCGGAGGCGAGCGCTGAGGCGCACCCTGTGGTATCGGGGATGAACGGGGCGACGATATCCATCCTGATGCGATTGAAGCACGCCGCGATGTTTGAGGACTTCCAGGTGCGTGGCGTGAGTGAGGGTAGGATTGGTGGAAGGCATTACTTGTCTCTGCGGGGGCTTGTCGTGTTGATGCTTGTCCGATCAAGGCTAGGTTGGCCCACTAGGTAATCAACACTCGTTTGAAATGGTTTGGCACGCTGTGATCATCGAATGTACCAAAACAGCTCTCTTCGTCCCGCTCGAGATACATAAAACAATAATACACCTCAATGGGGGGGAAAGACCATGTGAAGCCTTCACCTACATCATGCATTTATTTTTGTGTGTTTCGCGAGAAGTCAGTTTAACCCCGCCTTGACTTCCCTTGGTCCCACATATTTCGGCCGTCTCATCCCTTGATCCCCTGCGTGTGCTATCGTGCTGCTGGTTGTCTGGCTATCGCGCAGACCCGCTCTACGTGTGCGTCGGCGCTCTGCAAGATCGCCCTCCGTCTGCCGGATCCGATCCGATTCGACGCTTACTGCTTTCTCCAAGGCCTGGCGGACTCTGCGGCATTGTTCCCCCTCGTGCCATCACGCCAAGACAACGATCCTGGCTGTAGTGGAGAGGGGCTCCTGGAAGGGCACTGGCGAGAGCAGGAAGCGCTCTTTGAAAGGATCGAAAATGGTACGGAAACAATGTTGTACGTAGGGGGTAGTATCACACGGACGTGTGTCCACTGCCAAGGGGGGTGATATGGTATGCGGAGGATTTTTGGTTTTTATGTTTAAGGTTGTCAGGCTTTTCTGTTGGCATAAGTCGATTCCCATGCCCGAAACGCAGCGCTAGGTTTCGCCCACCTGCTCTTCATCACGACAGGACGGTGTTCTTCTCACCACCAGCGTGGACGGTAAGGTGTGGTGGCGCCGCTGTCACAACACCGCCGACAACGCTGCGGCAAAGCGAAATTCTCTCTCACCTGTGTTATTTTTGCCCCTCCCCCAGCGGGTGCTTACGGCATCCGCGAGGTGGTCACGCCCGTTCTGGACTACCTTGGCTGCTTGTACTCCATGCCGGACAGCGAGGGAACGCGACCAGGCTCCTCGCAGGATGGGTCGCTGCCGACCGAGCGGACCGAGGTCGGACAGCGCTCGGCCATGGAGACGAAGTTGTTGGGTGTGTACAGGCGCGTTTTGGACGAGCACGGAGCTGCTCCGGGACCGTGATTCACCTTGTCTCTTACCTGTTGGGTGTCTCTGGCTGCCAAGGAGGCTCGTCGAGTGCATAGACGGAGCATATTCCCCCGCGATATGTTTCTCGGGCTCAGTGTTGTTTGGTCGGGTGGCATGTTGTGCTGATTGTATCGAGGACGCTAATGTATTCATGATGGACGCTTGTTGAGGCATTTGGTGGCAGGTGATTTGCCCCGCTGTCTGGTCCTCTTTGTCTGAAGCCTGTCAACTACTGTACCCGTGTACCCGTGTACCCGTGCTGCTTTAGGTGTGTGGTGCAGAAAGGTTTACTAGGCGTCTTTCTGATAACATAAGTTTGGGTATGCTGTGATACGTGCATCGTAAATAGTGTGTAGATTTGAGTGTAGGTCACGCTGAACCCCATTCAGTATCACTGTAGATCCATAATGATAGACCCCTTCCCTCTCTAAGACGTGTTCGGGGGGGGGAGGGGCATGTCTTAGCAATGCGTGCGTAGGATGTCGTTGGCATCGCACTCCTGCGCCATCAAGAAATGCGCTTGTTGCGTGGGCGATGGTTTTGCTCCCCCCTCCTGTTCCGGGCTGCCTGGCGGCCCTCAGCGTTGGAGGCCTGTGCACCTCAATTTCTTGCTATTGATAAATGTGCGTGTCTCTTCTCGGCGTGTGCTGTCGCCCTGAGCTCGCGTGTAAGTAGTGCTAGACCTTGTTCGTCGGTTCTTCGAATCACAGCAGTCCCAAGTTGTGTAGTTAAAGTGTAATTTAACGGCCAATTAAGTTTTTAGTGTTCGTGTAACGATACGACATTCTCAACCATTTTCTTTGTTCAAATTTTTGAAGCGCTCTGTTTTGTCCATCAGAGTGTCGGGTACGAGCAAGTCGGCATAGTTTAACCAAGTGTCGTTCACGTCGTTGCTTGCCCACTTGCAGATTCTTCTTGAGTTGGAGTTTTTTGTGCGTCACTACGCGCCCAACCATGTGGCATCCTAGCGGCATGTAGGACGTGTTCGAGGAGCACACAAGATCAAGGCTTCGATCGATAGGAAAAAGTGGTAACTATCTTGCGCCTCTTCCTCGAGATAACATCAGATTCAAGTTGTCTCTCTTTCCGGCGCGAAATCGGAGTGTCAACGTAGCCTAGCCACTCCTGTCTTTGCTCAAGTTTGGCCCAAATTGGATATGTTACGTTTCAAACAGTTGGTTTCAGGATTCGTCTCGCAGTTCGTTCTTCGTGAATGCCATCAGCTTCCTTCCTTGTTTTAATCACTGTCGGCACTCCACTCGTAGAATCAAGGAATAGCGCCGGTAATCTTTCAATGGATGACAGCACAAAAACACTGTCCCCGGATGGTTTCCAATCGACCCTTCACGTTTTGCATTACTCTCCATCGTAGTTGCGAAAACCAAGAAAACAGCTTTGTCATTCTGCTTGTCGCTTGAATGTCTCCTCAACTTGCTTCAACATGAAAACAAAAAAAAAACAATAGGAATAACAATATCGTCGTTCATGAGTGACTCCAAATACTATTTGCTGTTACGCACCTGCAAGGACTGACGCTTGACTAGCCCGCAAAAACAATCCCTTTCGATGCTAACAAAGGCGATGGGGGGCTGACTTACTTGAGGGAGGGGCCCGTAGACTACAGCATACACAGGGACGTACAATTCCGGAATCTCCTGCTCCTACGCACAAACTCGCTCTGCCGTTCAATCTGCCGTTCGTTCCTTGAGGTAGACCGCTAATATCTCCTCGCAATGTATTTTTTTCCCCACCTCTGTAATCTGTAACCAAGGGACCCACTCGGTCTGTATTTTCTGGCGTTCAGGCAACAACTTGCATTGCTCTATCAGAAGCAGAGCAGTGCCAGCTAAATACCCCAACAGGGGGAACAAAAAGAATAAGTAGGTGTGTCCTGTGGTCTCTTTTCCGCACTCCCTCGTCCCGTCCCACAACCCTGCCACGAAACTTGCAGGGCTTTCACTGGGTTCAGACCAGGCAGCGTATCCCACCGCGGACAATTTAGGCTTATCCCCTACTTAGCAAGGTACCACCAGGGCATCTACAGGCTCGTAGCCCCCTATGGGGTGTGTCCAGGCATAGCTGACAGGCCACCAGTGTTGTCAGAGCATCTTCTCAGGTTTCTTGGGGCCCTGATGGGGGAAGTTGGCGTGCAGGTAGGTGCCTCCAGCGACAAGCGCCGCCGCCGTCCAGTGCGTCTGTCGTCAAGCATCACCAGGGGGACAGCATCGACGAAAGAAAAGCACACACACATCTATTAATAGCACGGTTGACAAATATTCGAAATGGTTGACAAACATTCGAGAGTCAGCTCCACGGGGTCGTTTATCTGCCGTTACATGGGGGATATGTGAGTACAGCTTGCCTTCTCCTTGTTCCTCCTCCCAGAGCCTGTTCTGCATCACGTTGCCTTACCATAGTAAGAGTCGACTTCTCCATAGTGCTCTGCACTGCCGCCGTCACGAGGATACCTCCTATCAAAGCAAAACCCTTCTGGACGCTCCCAGCGTGCTTCGTCACCTACCCGAAGTTAGCCACGAGTCCGCACGCGCAACGAGGATGGCAGCGGGCGCGCGAGGGGGGACTATGATAGACGTAGAGGGAGTCGGCAGCGGTCGTTTACACCAACAACAAAACCTTACGCATTCTTTGGTCCTTTCTTGGAGTCGACAAGTAAACTTTGCAGAGAACCACTGCCATTGCCATCAAGAGAAAGGCAAAAACAGCTATTACCAACGTCTCCTGCGTCCAGGTACGCGCGCTCAGAATACTACCGGTTCACTGAGAGGGCTTAAAAAATGTACGTCGTGAGCGCGACTCCCACTTACGACGCCAACGAACGCGCGGTCGTTTCGTTCAACTACTAGTATCACGATACAACACAAACTCGCACAAGACAGGTCTGACGTACAGATGCTGTTTACCTGGCCCACGATCAATCCGCCTGCCGCCTGACTGAGCACGGGTATGCAAGTCCACTTGGTCCATCCCTGGAACGCACTACTTCCTCCTGCTAACTTCACCGCGTTTGACCCACCGATCCCGGATCCCGATGTTAGCAGCAAGGTAAAAACGCCGTATACGGCTAACTCTAGAGAAAGCTGGGACGAATTGCGGCCGCTCCTCTGCAGCGTCCTCTGGGTTACCGCTCCCATCAACCCGGACATCAGGGCCGCCGCCATAACGGGGAGCACGCCCAGCCAAAGCCGCGCAGAATCATCTGCCTCCGACGTAAACAGCCCCCTTTCCCTAGTGCCTGCCTTTGAATCACCGCCACTGCTACCTGAGTTGAGGAGAAGGGCCGCCGCTAGTAAGAGCGAGAGGGCGACGAGCTGCAAGCGGGACTGCTTCTTGCCCATGACGAGGTACAGGCAGAGCGCGGCGAAGAGGGTCTTGGTTTGATTGAGGAGGTTGAACGTCAGGGAGTCCAGGTTCATGTAGGCCAGCTGGGATAGCCAGTTCTGCAGGGCGTACCCGACGGCCGGTAGCGCCGCCGCCTCGAGACTCCCTCGAAGGGTCCACGATTCAAGCATGGGTCTGAAAGTCAGCAGAAGAAGGGCGCCAGGAAAGATGGAATGGAGGAGAGCACGTGTAACGGCCTGGTTGATAACAGTTGTATCTGCATGTACCAGTACTCATTTCATCTGAGGCAGCCGGCATGCTGCCGACATCTGTAAATGCTCACTCTCTGCTCTCGCACAGCCTCTCGCACTTCCGAATAGCTCTGCACGGTTGAATGAAGAGTGCTGGTGAGAGTGTTGGAAAATCCAAGGAATACAACCGTGATGTGTGTAACGATGCCCGTACAACGAACGGTTTGACGTATGTAGCCCCTCATGTGCTGGGCGCATAGGGTGTAGGCCCGTCCTGGTGCATTTACACTGCTGTAAAGCTGTAAATCTGCTCGTGTCGCGAATGACTGCTGAAATAACTTCCTCTCACCGATACACCTTTGACCCAGACGACCAGATAATTAACACGCAAAGGGTGATCTTGGTCATTTCGGTGACAATGATGAGGGACATGCGGTCCACGCTGTGCTTGTCCACGCAAGCCTTCTGCAACACCGGCTGGAGCCCGAACTGAAGCGCGAGCATTCCCATGAAAAATCTTCCTTTCCTACTGACACTCCTGCGATCCTGCTTTGCGCCACCCATTCTCCTCCTGTCGCTTGCTGGTTCTTCAAGCGGGCCGCTAGGAACTGCTTCTGGGCTGCCCTCTCCACGCCCACTCGGATGTCTCACCCCGCGGCTGCTGTCTACTTCACGCGGTCCTGCTGGCGAAGTCTGATACTTCGTCCTTCATGCAAGAACAACACTTGTTTCGTCCGTCGTGAGCTATATTGTCCCTTTTCCAAGTGTGGTGTCGACGCACCTTGCGTTCCTCCTCCAAACTGCAAGGAGAGTCTGCTTCTGTGTGCCTGGCGTCGTTGCTAGAGAGACCGAGAGGCAGCGAGCAGGGAGCAGGAGAAGCGAGCGGGGTCAGGGCATGGCGATACTGTGCGTGTCAACCAATCAAATTCGAGCATCCCACCAAGGAGTTGCGCCGCCACGCCGCCACACATTTGCAGCTGGCAACTCAAGCTGGCAGCTGGCAACACCGCAGTACCCACCCCGTTGTGTGCGCTTGTTGCGCTCTTGCAACTCTGAGAACATGTTTGCTGGTGTGGACAAGCTGGGGGGTGGAGTGGTCGGAAGTGTAGTGTCAGACAGCAAGGCAGCGCTAATTACCATGGGGGAGAGCGCAGCGACAGCCAGGCGAGTAATTCCCTACACCCACAGACAAGAACATGATGAAATCAGTCCGTGACAAGTCGTCGATTCCTTCACAAAGATTACATGCAAAGGTCGCTCATGCCTTCTACTGGCAACGTTGGATATTCAATAGGGCATTCTTGGCCAGGTCGCTACCAAAGGCCTTTCTCTAACCCATGTTCTGTGCTACACAGGATAGTCTGGAGATCTTCCCGCGCCGCGGTAAATACCATTAACTACGGCACCAGTACCCTCGGTCAACGAGGCGCCCGCCAAACGCAGCGCCGGAGACATGCTTGACGCGCTTGATTATGCGTGGTGCTGCTCTCCGCAGTGCTGAAGAAACTCTGGTGGGTAAAGCGGTGAGCGAGGATGGCACTACCAAGGCGGTGCTTCTGCGATCGAGGGTCGACCCGACCTCCGGTGGGCTCTGCTGGCTTCCGGTGGATGCTGCCATGGCTGCTGAAGGTAGAGAGAGGGCGACGAAAGTCACGTTGGTATCTAACGGGCCGGGCAGTTGTGTAGACAGACAGAGAATGGATACCTATCGTGATGGATCGAACTTGTGCCAACGCTACAATGTTCAAGTACGCAGCCGGAAGCACACAAACAATCCAACCATTCTCCTGTAAAGACTACTGCTGTAGTGGTAGATAACACCTGGTAATGTTGCAGCACAGCATTCCGATCGCATAGAATTGGCTCAACCGTTTCGGCGCCTCAACACGGTTGACAGTGGTTTGTTAAGAGTGCCCTCGCCTTCCTGCACTTGTACTTCCGCTATTCCTTCTCAACCCCACGCGGCGCTGGACACTTCCTTCACTGCGTGCCGGACGATGTGTCGATGAAGACACCACCTCGATGTCCCAGATGTGAGGAAAACTTGGTCCTATCTTGCCGTTTGCACGTTCCAGTGCCCTTTTTATAGGTTGCAAAAGTTACACAGTTGTACCAGTGGCTATGACTATATTGGTCACACACACGCGAAACTCAGCGGCGAGCATCAATTAGCGCAGACTACTACCTCCCCCGTTGCCGCAAATGGCCTCTCGTTTTGGGCTATTTCTAAGCACGACACGTTCTCGCTAGTCTGCGCTCGATGAACCTCCGACCAACCCTGCTCTTTGCCCGTCTGCCCTCAATGAACCTTTGACCACCCCCGCTCTTTGCCCTCGCAAACCCTCTGTTCCATTTTCACGCAGGACATCTATGCTTCACGACGCTTCTCGGAACACAAAGTATGAGACGGCCATCACAACAGTAAGTCGCTACGACCATGTGGACGGCACACTTGCATAATCTGCGGCACCGCATGAAACAAAAACAGCATGCAAACGTGATCGGTGATCCAATATGTAGAACTACTTGTTGAGGTTCCAGTAGGTTTGCTGTATATCCGGCGCGTTTCTCCAGCACAATTCACCGCCGACTGACAAACCGTTTCATGAAACCCACGCGTCGTCAAGTGTCCGCTAGCCAAAGGGTCGCCGTCTATCACTTTTTGCTAGGCATGAATAACCTTTAGCGATACGGGTGACCCTGCCGCTGAAAGTGGCCGCAAATCGGGCACAACCACGCACCAGGCGTGGCCGCTTGCAGGCCCTCCACGGCTTGGCTTTGTAAACGAGGCAGGTCTACGCATACGCTGTGCGTTTTCACGCCCCTGTATCCTGCCCGGTGTCGAGATCTGTGGTAAAACGAAATACGTTACTTGCTCTGGTCGGCCTTGCCCACCTTGTTGCTGTTGACAGGCCATCCAAGCTTTCATTCAAGAGCATGGGAGGCCACCTGTGGTTCTCGATATTGGCCAAGGCACGGGGCTGTTGTCAATGCTGGCCGTTAGGGCTGGCGCCGAGGAGGTGTATGGGGCAGAGCTCTATGAACCTCTCGCGCAGATCGCCAGGGAGGTCACAACGCTAAACTGCGGGGATAGGATCAAGGTGAGTTCATTGTGACGCTTCCTACTGTCTTCGTGTCTCCGAATCGCGAACCAGGCGAGGTCGGGGCTTTCTGGCGCTCAAAGTATTCCCACGATTTTCTCGGATTTCGATGACAGGGAAAGGGGACGACACATGAACGGAAAGGGCCTGTGCCCAGTAGGTTCTGTTGTGCAGGTGCTGCCCACGAACCTTACGCAAAAGTTCACCACTGCAACTATTTCTACCACAACTATTCTATTACCACTACTGCTTATCTGCTTCCACAACCACAAGTACAACATGTTTCATTAATCCAGATTCGGTGGCCTCGGCGTGTGACTTGACCGGTTACGTCGGGTAGACGATGCGCGCGCGTTGCTGATCGCCATTCCTTCATTTTTTTTTGTTTGTGTGTATCGATGTTTAATACAAGCCACGATACCCCCAATCCGTTCCATGTAGAACACACCCAGAGCAGCACTACGACCCATGCGCGAATTACCGCCGTGCCGCGGGCGTGTCAGGTTGTCGCGAAGAGGAGCACGGACCTGAGTGTCGGAGAAAACGGAGATCTGCCCCGACGAGCCGACATGTGCATCAACGAAATCTATGACTCCGCGCTCCTGGGCGAAGGGTGCCTGCCCGCGTTCCGTCACGCGCTGGCCAACCTCCTGGTGAGCGGTATGATGACGCGACCCCGATCAACCAGCGATGGAGGCTAGATGATGAACGCGGTGACACGCGACCATACGCAAGTAGCGGTCGTCGCTTTATAGTCCGACGGGCAAGAGTAGGGCTGTGGACGGTACATACATAGCACCGTGCTTTCTGTGTGCGTCGATTTTGCGGGGAAGCGATAGGCAGGTGCTGCCATTCTTGTTGTTCCCACTCCAAACGTCTGCTTAACCCCTCCACCCACCCACCCACCCGGTGGCTTTGCGATTCCGTTTCCCGCCGCGCCTGCCAGGTGGACAAGCCGGTCATGGTTCCTGCAGGCGCCGAGGTCCACGGTGTGCTTCTCTCGAGCAAGTTTCTTCGGTCTCGCCACGACCTCTCGACAGCGGAGTTCAGTGAGGGCGTCCCCGTTGCTCGCAACCCACGCGCGGCGGCGTGCCGCGGCGGGAGAAGGGCCCTCCCTCTCCAGGGCGCAGAGCTGGAAGATGCCGTAAATCTCAGGTGCGCACAGCAGCGCCAAGCTCTGTTTTTATCCCCGACGCCTCTTGGCTTCGCATCTACTGCGACGTTTGTAAGGCAGATCCCGCCAAACTGCGAAACCCCTGCGAACGGCCGTGCCCACCACCACCTGTCAATCCGGCACGACTATTTGTCATAATATTTTCCTTGGTGATGTCCGTCCTTTCACGCGTGCGTGCCGTCGCTCCCTCCCGCCATCTTGTCCGGCCATCAGCGAACCGTTCCATGCGCTGAGCTTCCGTTTTGGGGAATCGTTTCCTGAGGAAGGCTGTCGGAGCCGCAAGATGTGCGTGCGGGCGAAGCAGGATGGAGTTTTAGACGCCGTCATGATGACGTGGGACCTAGCCTTGCATGGTGACGTCATGTACTCCACGAGGTATGTGTCGTGCCATGTCCTGTTGGGCGTGGAGGATGCGGTGTGTGTGGGGGGGGGGGTAAGGGGGATATTTCTTGGGTATTTTTGTCTGCAAGGCTCAACCGTTTAGAGCACACGTGCTCGGGGAGGCGACTTGGCGTGATTTGTCGAATGTCATGAGAGCAATCGACACGTATACATATGTCAAACGTGTTGCAGGGTACGATGGGATGGTGCAATAGTATACTTCCCACCCCCTCGACGGTCATTTCTTCTGACCACTCTCCCTCTCTCTCTCTCTTTCTCAGGCCAGGGGCGGAGAATTGGCAAGACCATTGGACACCCTCGTACTTCCCTATATGTAACCGTGTTGAGGTTCGCGCGGGGGACTTGGTCCGCATGAAAGTCACCCACTCGGAACTGAATATCATGTTTGAGGTGCTAGCGGTTGAAAGAGAACCCGAGCAGCAGCAACAGCAGCAGCAACAGGAGAAGGGGGAGAAAACAGCGGCTACTGAAGGCACCAATGAAGTTGCAGGTGCGTCTTGAGCCTGTCGCATGTTTCGAGCAGCAACATTTAGACCCCCCCATATTCGCTTGACACCCTGCTGCGGCGGTGCTCGCTCAAATATATCGGTTCGCTCATGGGTAGAACCATCCGGTGGGTACCCCCCCCCCCCCC